AAATGGATAAACAAAACGTGGTATATCCATACAATGGAATATTATTCAGCCATAAAAAGGAATGAAGTTTTGATACATGCTACAACATGGGTGAACTGTGAAAACATTATCCTAAGTGAAATAAGCTAGACACAGAAGTACTTACAAATATTGAAGGTACTTACACAAGGTTCCTAGAATAGGCAAATTCACAGAGACAGAAAGTGGATTAGAGGTTACCAGAGGCTTGGGGAGGTGGGGATGGGAAGTTACTGCTTAATGATTACAGAGTTTCCGTTGGGGTGATGAAAAAATTTTAGAAATAGATACTAGTGATGGCTGCACAACATTATGAATGTAATTAATGCCACTGAATTGTACACTTAAAAGTGGTTGAAGTGGCAAATTTTATGTTATATATATTTTACCAGTTAAAAAAATTAATAGTGTAGAATACCAGAATCCACCTATTTGTACATTTTAAGTGGGTGAATTGAATGGCATGAATTATATCTCAATAAAGTTTAAAAAAAAAACCCTAAATGACTGTTTTTAGGATTCATATTTAGGTGGTAAAACTATAAAGACAAAGCAAGTGAAGGATTCCTAGAACTATCAGGAGAGTGGTTGCTTTACAGGTGTGGGAGGAGTCTTAACCAGAAAGCAGCATCATGAGGGCCACTGGGGAGCTGGCAATGTCCTTTTCCCTGACCTGGGTGGTTGTTGCTGGGAGTTTCATTTTATAATAATCTATTGCACTATACATTTATGTTTAGCACACTTTTTAAATGTGTGTTACTTTTCACAATGCTTTTTTTAAAGAATAAAAATTCAGCAAGAACAAAGTATTGGGGGGTTGGAGGAGGACGGCTTGTTGAGTAGACAAGAAGTGTCTGCCACAGGAGAACAGAGCTGACCCATCTGAGCAGATGGAGAAGAGAGTTCTATGCAGAGAGAGCTGCGTGTGAAAGTCCCCGAAGCAGAAAGAACATGGTGAACCTGAGGAACTGAAAGGTGACCAGCGCAGTGCTGACCAGGCTGAGAGAAGGAGAGGCAAGAGCGTGTGTGATGAAGTCCGAGCGCTGGGCAGGGGCCAGATGGAAGGCCATGCAGCCATCTGAGGATGTTTTAGACATTGTCCTAAGGGAGCAGTGGGAGGTCACTGAGGGGTCATAAAACAGCAACGTGACCTGATCAAATCAGTAAGCAGGTCATCCTGCCTGGAGCGTGGGGCGTGGATTGGACAGGGTCAGGGGTAGGAGCCAGGAGACTAGTTAGGAAGCCGTTTTGATAACCCTGAGGGTTGGTGGAAGCTTGGACTAGGGGGGAAGCAGTGGAAAGGCGAGGAACGCAGTGTCCTGTGCCCTGTGCCCTGTGTGCATTTAACAACTCTGTTCAACTATACGCAGCACTCTCTCATTTTTTTATGTAGTTAAAAATAATGTTATATTGTGTACCCTACTATATACTCTACCTTACTATATACAGTACATGCTTACACATACACACTGGTACATACGTTTTGTATACACAGGTGTGCACACAAAACCGTGGCGACTGTATTTCATGAGTGATTTAAGGGATCTCCAGAGGTTATGTTGACTATACAACTTTTGCCTTATGTGCCGACTTTAGAACCTAACCTGGTGAAAGGGGCAACTCCACTGTTGATGGACTTACGAGATATTTAGGGGCTCTGGTGACTGCAATAGAAGGGAGAAGGAGAAGGATTAACTAGAGAATGATATTCCCAGGTCTCTTGCCCAAACAACTGAGTAGACGGTGGCTCCATTCACTGCGATGGGGCCCACTGGCACAGGAACAGCTGGAGGGTAGAGATCATAGTTCATCTTCTCAATATTTTATGAAAAAGTTCAAAACGCAGAAAAGTTGACAGATTGTATAGTGAACACCCATATACTCACCACCTAGATTCTATAACTCACTTATTGCTATATTTTCTTTTTCACATCCTCCCATAGTCCCAGAGGAGTTAATTTTTGAACAAGCTGAGTTCGTGGTATCTAAGAGATTTCCAAGTGTCCCGTCTAAAGGCCCTGAGTACAGAGCTACATTTAAAGAGCAGCCTACGCTTGCTGCCTCCCCTTCTCTGCCTCCCCTTCACTCTCAGTTCCCTAGAATGTGGCTTCTGACATCTTCCTTCTTAAGGTGGTTTCACCAAGGACACCGACTACTGAGGACTCCAAAACTGAACTTATCACTCTCCTGTAAAACCTGCTCCTCCTCCCGTATATCCTACCTTACAGTGACCCAAACCTCAAACTTGGGAGTCATCCTAGACATCTTCTGCAGCAAACAGGTGCTGTCAATCCTACCTCCTATAAATATCCTTAAAAGATGTCCGCTTTCGCTTCATCCCCTCTACTATCAACAGCGTTCTGGATCTCAGAATTTCTCATAGTTTTATTGACATTTAAGTATTACAGTTTCAACCTCTGAACTAGCTCTACCTTCTCTCCAGTTCGTCTATTCCAATCCACCTGTTTGTCAATCTAATTTATCTTAAAAAAAAAAATCTGTTCACACCACTTTTCTTTTACAGTCCTTTACAGGTGCTTATCCCCAGGTTGGCATGACTTTTATATTTCTTCAAGATTTTCCAGAAAGCATGACTAAGCCTAAATTTCCAACCTCATGCCTAGCTACTCTCCCACACCATTGCTACTACTTAGTGGCTCTTCAAGTACGCGAACCACACTCTCTGCTTTATTGCCTTCTCCTCCAGGAAGACCTTGAAAGCCAGGCTAGACGGCTCTCATAGAATCCTGAGAATAGATATTCAACCTCCACAGAACTAAACATCCTTGAGGATAGTGACTTAGTCTTCTTCATTGCCAGACACTAAGCACTCTGCCTAACACAAAACAGACCCACAGTGTTGCAAACACCAAGTGCTTTGTACATTCTCCCCTTCCCTTCAACAAAATCCTCCTGAAGCTTGAATTTCTCCGTGAAGCTTTCCCGGGCCCGGCCAAGTAGTCAGGGGCTCTGACTCCTTTATCTACCGCCGCTGAACTTCATAAATTATATTTTAATAGTTTATCTATAGCACTAATTGCCGTAAATGTTAACACTTCCACCTTTTTTTGATAACAGCAATCCTATCCACGCTTCCGGGCTCTATTCAAAGCCACCTCCTCCATTTACTAGTTCGCTGCTTCCTTTTAACTCTCAGCTCCTGATGCTTATATCTATTTAGCACTTGATATACTTTCATTATAGCTGCTTATTATTGCTTTCCTGGTTCCTTTCCTCTCCTCCCAGAGTGTAAACTCCTAGGCCTGGGACCTGCTCCTCTCTGACTCCCTCTCCAGCACTGGGCGCGGCGCTTTGCAAATACAGCCCTAAGGCACCTCCGGGAAGCTCCTGGAGGGACAGAGCCCTTCCGAGACGTCTCCGCCGGCGGATCCGCTAGCCCGTACCTGCACGGCCGGAGCTCCGCCCCCTCCACGACCTCTTTTCGACCCGGGCACGGAGGGCGGGAGAACCCGTCAGGAAAAGAGGAGAGCCGACCCTGCCCTCTCCCTGCCCTGTCCCTAGGTCCTAGTGCCTGCCAGAGTACGCCGGACCTCCGCGCAAGCGCAATGACGCTCTCTGAGCGCTTGTGGCGAGCAGGAGGCCCGGGGCCGCCCAGGCTAGAGTGGGCGGAGTTGCTGTTGCAGGGGCGGGGCACAGCGGAGCTCTCGCCCGCTCATTGGCTCCCGCGCTGACGGACAGGCGAAGGAGCTGCTGAGACGCTGCTTGGTTAGAGACAGCCGTCTGGGCAAGATATAACTAAGTAAATAAATAGAAGGCCGTGGAGGAGGGGAGGAGGGAGCGGTGGGTGTCGGTTTGAGAGCGGCTGGAGCTCAGCTCATCCCTGGCTGGGGCAGGACGGCGGTCCTCGGTTCACTCTCTTCCGCCATAACTGGGCCGGGGAAGTCCGGCTTTCTGGAAAGTTGTTCTGGCAGCAGTCGCAGAGGACTTGTCCCCACGGAACCCGAGTCTCATTCTACGTCCTTCAACTCCAGTTTTGTGGCTCCGGTTTCCTAGGGGCAGCCTCCAAGGGCTGGAGAGTTCCGCCACGCTGTGGTCCAGCTCAGGATTAGGGACTTCAGCCCCCTCCCCTCGGGCACTGGCACGACACCCTCCGAACTGGCCTCCCAGGTTTCTGCCTGGCTGCAGATTTTGTAAAAGGCAAATCTAAACACATCCTTTGCTTGAAACCGCCAGTGCCCTCGCGGGCAGAGGCGTCAGGATCCACTTTCAACCTTGGGGTATGAAGCGGTTGTGAAGCGCTCCTGCTTATCTTTCCAGCCACATCCTGGAGGAAGACCAACAGAGTCAGGCCCTTTCAGTCCTTGTGGTTCTGCATGAGCTGTCCCTTCTGCCTGGGCCGTACTTGCTCGCGCGCTCGAGCTCGCTCGCTCGCGCTCTCTCTCTCTCTCTCAGGAGCTCAGACCTCACGGCCATATTGTCCCTGGCCCCACTCCCACCTCTGGACTTGGTTATCTCGCGCTGCGAGCATACTGGCACTCTGGCAGCCCTGTACCACAGCTTATCACACCTGCTAGGTTCCTGGAGTGTAAGCAACTTGACGGAAGGGACTGTGTTTTCCAGATGTGTAGCCTCCAGTCTAGCACAGCGCACATCCATAGGAGTTCAATAAATGGATACTGAATGAATCAATGCACAACTTTTGATCCAAGGATCAAAAGTGAAGATTAAAAAATGTCAGGCTGGGCTGTGGCACTTTTGGGGCTCACTAAAGACATGAACCATATCTTTTTCACCTCTGAATCCCAATAGCTAGCTAACAAGGTGACGCTCCTTTTTAAGTATGTGAATAAACTCAAGATGACAAATTGTGAAGTTAAGCAGTTTAGTTATGGTCCCATCACAGCCTGTGTGATAGGACTTCTGCTCAGTCAGTGGGGGCAGGGCAGTAGGCCTCAGGGCCCAGTCACTAAAGAAAATTCAAGCAGGCTTAGAAGGGTGAGACGTTACAGACAACAAGGACGCCAAATCCAAGAGGTGTTTACTGTAATGAGTGTTCAGGGAGGGTGAGGTCGGGTGGGGTTCCCCTAGTCTGATCCTCCAAGGCTCTGGGGTGACTCATTCTTCTTTGGGTCCAGGGGTGGGGCTGATATTTGTTCCCTGAGTTGGGCCCTGCTCCCCCTGGCCCTTGGCATCCCTAGTGTCTCCAGCCACTAGGGCCACATTCCTCAGATAATTAGTATTAAAGCAGTTGGTCTGTTCATCTCCAGAATTCAGGTCACAGCAGAAGGCAGAGTCTGTCCAGAAGCTACGTCGGGAACCACACAGTTCGTCTATGAAGGCTGATTTCTAATGAAGAAGAGTGAAGCAGAAATGACAGGGAAGGGGTTGTCAGAAGTCAGGCACGGATACTTGGGTGCCCAAAGTCCCCCTTCCCTCAGCTTCTACTGCTCTCTCCATGGATCCCTTCCTGGGGCCCAGAGAGAGTGCAAGGCTGTCTTGCATAGCTAGATTCATTGTGATGGACAGATGTGCACATCTGGAAATGCCTGAAGCTTGAGGCCCAGAGAAGGTATAATAGCAACTTATAAGTGGGGAGAGGTCAGGCCAGGAATGAAGACTTCTGGAACCAAGAAAAAAGATCTCCTCCACTAGTCCTCATTATTTCTCTGGGCTGGTTTGAGGTACTAAAGAGAAGGGGTAGCCTGTAGTTTCAGCCCCCCCCTCCCCCTTCCCCTGCATTCCTTTGGAGAACATGACCCCCTATCCCTCACCTCCTCCTCGGCACAGCATGCCTGCTCTGGAAACGGCAGTTCACAGCAGCGGGCAGTCATCTTCCGGATCAGCCCAGGAATCTGTTTACTATGTTGGTGAAAAAGAGCAGGGGTCAGGCTCCTTGGATATCCCCAGGTATCAAAATGGTACTTAGAGACCATGATTTTTCTCTTCCCAAGAGTGCCCCAGAAGGAAGGTTTTTGGGAAAGGAAGAGAGTTGGGGAAGAACTGGGCAAGACTCACTGCTTGGTGAGAACTCTTGTATTTCCACAGAGATGGCCCATGAGGTTGGGGGTGACTCGGCTGAGGTCAAGGGTCAAGATGTCCCGGTCATAGTTGGGGTAGGGAGCCCGACTGGCAAAGCACTCATCGCGGGCAGGGCTAGGAGGGTGTTGGCAACACGAGTGGTGATGGGTCTTTACAGCCTGTTCCCGATCACAGTATCTATCAAGGGTATCCTCCCACTGTGGGCCAGAGAGAGGGAAGTCAGAGGCCTGGACACTTGGCTCCTTTTCTCCTGACCCTCTGCTTCCCTTATTGCCCATACTATGAGATGCGGGACTCCCAGCCCCAGGTGCTGAAAGAGAGGGGAAGAGAACCAGAGGGCAAGGAGGCAGCTGTGGGTATATGGGGTTGGGAAGGCGGAAGGGTGGAAGCACAAATGAGGTTTGGAGCTGCCCACAGGAGATGAGCTGGAACGGCAGACGGAGAGGGTCAGGTGAGGTCACAGCTGGACGGACGGATGGTGGACAGGTGCACATGTGGGATCATGGGTGGACGAGGCCAGGAGTGCGGGATGAAGGCTCAAGATGAACAGACTCAGATGATGAACACAATGGATGGACGGACAGTCACAAGCAGACGAATGGGTAGCCATGCTCACAGTGGGGAGGTACATGGATGAATGGACCGGTGGGATCAGAGGTCGGAGATGGGTGGGCAGGCAGACAGGCTCTTGGGGGGGCTGGGATGCCCACTTACGGCCTTCCATGTACAGGTGTGGTTATTCCCCTGCCGGCAGCAGCGCTGGAACTCCCCCTCCAGCCGGGTCAGAGCCTGCAGCTGCCTTTGGATGGGGTCAGTAGCTGGGAGGTTTCTTGGCACAGAGTGGAAGCGTCTTAGGTGGCAGATGTTCTTGATATTGTCCAGAGTGGGTACCCCAGGGGGGAAAGGCAGCTCGGGGCCCGAGGAAATACCAGGCTGGTGGCTGGGGCAGGCCTGGAGCTGGTAGTGTGGCTGGGGCGCTTCCTCTTGGAAGCAGGAGAATCGAGCCTCCCCCTGCCGTTTGCAGCACCGGTGGGCTCGGGTCTTGACCGAGAACTCGGCCTCACAGAACTGGGTCATTGCATCCTCCCACTAGAGCAAGAGGGGTAGATCAGCCCAGCAGCTCACTGTCCGCATTCCTGTCTTCCTCCCAGCTCCAGAAAAGGAACCAGGGCAGGTAGATAAGAAAGAAGCAGCAGAAAGAAGCAGAGGCTGTCCTCTGCCCTCCTGGCACATTGGGGAGGCCCAAGGGAGCGCCAATAAAAGGGACCTGAGGTTCCTGCAGGCCTAGGCCTCTAGTCCTTAAAACACACACATACATACTGTCTGGGGGTTAAAGAATACCCCCAGAATCAAGAGCCCAACCCTTACCACGAGTTTTGCACACTCCAAGCGTTTCGTGTAGCTGTGGCAGCGGCAGCAGCGAGAATATCCAGTCTCCAGCAAATTGAGGGTCTCACCCTGGCGAGTAAGGTGGGAGTAGCCAGACTGTGGCAGGTTCCAGGGGCCATACACCACATGCTGACGATTAGGAAGGCAGATCTGGTCCAGATTGTTGGGAGAAGGCCGCCCAGGGGGGAAGCCATCCAGTCGGTGGCCCCAGGCCCCTCGGGATTGGCCCTGTCGGCAGTGCTGGGCTGCATTCCAAGACTCCACCTCTGGGGTGCCACGGCTCATGAAAGGAGCTGGTTTTCCTAGAATGGGGAAAACAGAGTGGGAAAGAGGAACATGTGGAGGAATAGACAAAGGCTAGATGAGCTGGGAAGACTGAAAGAACTTGGGGTTGAGGAGAAAGGGCTGGGAGGATGTATGGGAAAAGAGGAAGAAATGAATTTGCAGCTCTTACCTTCAGAATGACTGACCGAAAGGAAAAGAGAACTGAGGCATGAAAGGTGTCCCCCTTACAGACTGCCCTCTCAATCAGGCCTGCTCCCTGTGCTGCTTCCCAAAGCTCAGGCTCCCTGCTCCCCTCCCCTGGGTCCTGAGAACTAAAGCAGGGGGGAAGACTGACCAGAGCTGTCACTCACCCTCTCCCTGCTTAGGTGGGAAGGTCATCTCCTTCTGATGTGGGAAAGGTGGGTCTACTAGGGTAGAAGAAGATTCGTAAGCAAAACTCGTGTTTGGATGGGCACCTCTAGAAGAGGGGACCTGCTCAGTTCCCATTCATAAACAAGAGCTCAATAGAGAAGCAAGTAAAAGTAAATGCTCTTTTCATGCCATTTAATCTCATAACTTTATAAAATAGGTATTATTTCCCCAATTTTACAGATGAAAAAACGAAGGCCTAGAGAGGTAACTTAAGGTCGGGGGGGGGGGCAGGTAGAGAGGAGAGGGAGTCACCTACCTTCCTTCTGTTCCAGAGGGAGCTGGGGAGGGGGCAGCTCTTCTTGGAGGGGGATGGCTTCCTGAGGAAGAGGGGGATCCACTGCAAGACAGGGGCAACAAGGATCAGACTGATGTCAGCAAGATCATGGGGGCTGGAGGCTGAGGCGAGGGAACGGGTGAACACTCGCCTTCCTTTTGCACAGGGAGCTGGGGAGGGGGCAGCTCCTCCTCTTGGACAGGGATGGCTTCCTGGGGGGGGGGCTGCACTACAGAAGGGGGAGTATGTGAGTAGCCCACCTCTTCTCCTAGCTAGGTCAAGGAGAGCAGGCAGGGCCTTCTTCCCCTCCCCATCTGAAGAACGGGGGTAAGCCAGACCAGGCACCTGGAAGGGTAACTGAGAAGGGCGTGTGGTGGACTTACCTTCACTCTGTCCTTCAAGTTGAGCGCCATGCTGAGAGGTGTCAGGGTGATCCATGGGGAGGGCTCGGGTCAGGGGTGGGGAAGGGGGTGCTGCATGGCCAACTAGAGGCAAGAGGGGAGGTGGTTAGAGTCTACAGTTCCTCCTAGACCCTCAATCCCATGCCACTTGCCTAAACTCTTACCTTCTTGAAGGTGGTGGGTGAGCTGCTCTGGCCCCAGCTCCCTCTGCCCTGGAGCCTTGAAGCCTGGAGTGAGGAAGGGTGAGTCAGGGGTGGTTTTGAGGAGCCCCTTCTGAGCACAGGATGGAGAGGCAGTAGAGATCAAGTGTAGGAAAGATGACCAAGACACTTGAAGGCCCTCTGTATTGTTCCTGCCCCATGTCCCCTAATCCACCCCTCAGACACACCTAGATATGACTGACTGGGTTCTGAGAAAGCCTGTGATATTCTGACAGCCTCACCTCTACCAGGCTCAAAGCTTCAGGTCTCCTGAGTCTGGGCCTGAAGGGAATGTGACATTTGGGGCTGGAGAGGAAGGCCCTAATCTCCTGTCAGTGCCTTCCCCTCAGGGCCTCTGGGGTCTCCTCCCACAGCCACTCTGCTGAGACGCTTCTCTCGCTTCTCTCGTTTCCAGAGGAGGAAGTCCAGACCTTGAATTGGTTGAAGTCTTACCTGTCCACCTCCTCTGCCCTCCCTCCAACTCCAGGCCCTTAAACATCTTTGGGCCTTCTGATAAGGAGCCCACCCAGAAGTTTAAGTGTCTTCCCTTCAGCTAGTCCCTGATCCTCCTTAGTTTAGGTCTCAATTTAGGACCTGGGGAACTGGGATGGTTTAGGACTCCTGAGGCAAATCACCCCACAGCCACAGGGAAAGGAATCACTTGTAGCTGATCTGCAGTCACAAAGACTAGGACCTAGGAGGGACAAGATGGGGCCTTACAGAGATACAGACTGCATCTATGACATCTCAATAGTTTCCCTCAGTAGCATTTTGTTCAGCATCCCAGCAGATAACATGTGTATGCTAGACAGAGGGTGGCTTTGTCTGGTCCCCTGTGGAAGGACGACACCCTCTCAACTCCTCTCCAAACAGGCAAGGAGTCAGTCGAGGCTCTCTGTGTCAGCAAACTCGATTGAGCAGCCTGGGCCCCACACCCCCTCCCCCGGCCTAAGAGGCCCCATATATACATCCTCCTCAGGCAGAGGCCCCTCACTCTGTGAATCCACCCACCCCTCAGGAATTGTCCATTTGACTCCAATTTTGTGTTTCTTGGCAGCAATCTCTAGGAACCCCTCTCCTGTGCTCCTGCTCCCCCTCCCTGGTTAAAGGCTCCAGCGCCCAGGCCCACCGTGAGCCTGTTCAGCAACAAGAGGCCAAATGAGAATCACCCTGCTGGTGATGAGCCATCTAGGATGGCTGAGCCAGGCCCCAGGCCCATGCTGGCCGGGACCTCTTCCTTGACTCCAACCTCACTCACCTCCCTTGGAGGCTATACAAGCAACAGCCAAATAGGCCAAGACCAAGGCTGCTCTGGACATGGTCCCCATGCTGGGGCAAGGACTGGTCAGCGGCCACTCAGGAGGTAGGTCTTCAGGCAGATTTGGATTTGAAGGGCTGAGTTGCCGGGAGCCTGCTTCTCCAGTTGCTGCTACTGCTGTTGTGAACTTGAGGGCCGGTTCGTTCTTTTTTATATGGTTATCTGGGATAGCTCCCGCCCTCCTCAGCTTCCTGCCGTGACTCAGTCCCAGCTGCTCCTCCTCTGGTAGCCACTCCTCCCAAATTCACCCTGGAGCCTCCTGAGAGGATTGAGAAGAATGGGGGTGATGGCAGGAGGGCATTCTTATGGCCCCAAGAGAAACTGATTCTGAGAGCCATGGAGCAAGAGATATTTGAGACCTTATTTTATGCTTTGATTCCTCCGTTTGCATGCTGCCCTCTGTGAAGAAGGGATCTAACAACCCGCTGAATTGGGAAAGGGAAAACAGAGCACTAAGGAGTTTAGGGTGGGGAGCCAGACATCTGTCCCAGGGAGCTCCCCTCCCAGTGAGAGGCCTGGGCTGCCCCTTTTCAATTTCCCCAACACCCTGGGACAAAAGAGAGGAGACAGAGTCAAACTCTGCTTTTATCCCTCCTCAGGAGTCAGAGATGAAGACACATACTCAGTAGCTTCAAGTTTATTTTTAGATTCACTCTCCTCACATCCAAACAGCTGCAGCTTCCCCCAGACCAAATCTCTTTCCAGGACAGCAGATTCATGCCTCCACACAAGTTCTGAGGGGTCTGGGGGACTTCAGACTCTGTCAGTCAGGTGGGGCTCTCTTGTGTTCAGGGAGGTTGGTGGCTCCTGCAGGTCTCTGTCACATCTATATACAGAAGCTCAGAAAATCTCTTCAGCATTTGGCACCCTGGTGTTCTGTAGCTCCAGCAGCCGCTGCACAGCTTCAGTCAAATCCCATTCCCCAAGTCGACGATTATCTCGAGTCCGAATGTTCACTGTTCTCTTACTCTGCTCTTTCTGACCAACCACTGCAGAAAGAGGGGAGGATTGGGAATCTCAAACCAAATTTATCCACATGGGGTATTTCCTTTTGCTATGCAGAAATTTAACAGACCTAAATCTTTACGAAAGGTGAGAGCAGAGCCCAGAGATAGTTCAGGAAAAGGACGTGTTTAGTTGTCTCTTGCTTGCCAGTTCCCTAGGGGCTCATCCTGAGGAGATAAACATTCCACAAGCCTTATCACTTCCAGTCAGGAGTCAGGGCTCAGAGATAGTAGGGTTAGCCAGAGAAAGACAAACAGGTCAAGCAGAAGTCACAGAGAGAAACTGTGTGTGTGTGTGTGTGTGTGTGTGTGTGTATACATTAAGGAAAGGGGAGGGTGGCAGGGGTGGAAGATACACGTGCAGGTCAAGGGGCAGCTTGCTCTAAGTGCTGGCAGGGCGCGTGGGTGTGTAAAACTAGAGAACAGGTAACCTGGTCAAGGAGTTTTTGCTCCTTGCCTTCTAGACAGAGCTCTGAACCTCGGAAAATGAAAAAGGAGCAAGGTAGGCCTAGAATTTTCTCCTTAAGGCCTTTCTCCTCACCCTTAGGGCTGACTCCATCTAAGTCCAGAATAAACAAAGCTAACTAATTAAGGCCTTATTAACCCTTCCTGACCCTTTCTCTCCGATGCTCCCTTGGTTAATTAACCTAACAGACACCAAGAGCTAGTGTGAGAGTCAGAAGAAAACTGTTTGAGGGTCACAGGTGGTTGTCAGGGGGTGAAGGAACCTAGGGCCCAAACGTGTCCTGAATCCTGACTCCTGCCCAGTCAAGTAATGAGCCCCAATTTACCCAAATATGCAGATGAACAAACTGAACAGACAGAAAAAAAGCACGGTGTAGAGGGCAGTGGTGTCGGGCTCCAAGGACCTGTGCTGACGTGGCCACTTACCAAACTGAAAGTTGTAGTGGGCGAGCTGAGCCCTGCGGACTCTCCGGCTAAGGGTCAGTCCGGAGTCAGCATCGAGGTCGCAGACCAGTCCTGCAGCCTGCAGGCTCCGCTGTGCCTGGGGCAGAGGTTTGGTGACAGGAACTTAATTTAATGGAAGGCTGAGGAGGTAGAACAGGCTGATACTATTCTTCCGCAAACCCCAGCTGTTCCTCCTTCCTCTGCCTCAAAGCTCTCCAGTTCTCAGGACAACCCCTCCTCATACAATCCCTCCTCATTCGTCTCTACACTGAGGCCTCTCCCCAGGCCCCACAGCTTCTTTGTCTGCCTCCTACTGAAGCCAAGTTCGCCAATAGTTGCCTGGACTCTGCCTGCTTCTAGCTACCGCTCTACCCAACCAGCTGCTCAACTCTGGTACCTTCCATATCCTTACTTCTCTCTAGAAAGGAAAATAAAACCAACATTTATCCAAGCCCCTTTCTGTGCCAAGTGCTCTGTTGTCAGCATTTAACATTTGTTTATTTGTTTAATTTTCACACAGTCTCCACAAGGCGGGGATTAGTCTCATTTCTCAGACGCGGAATTTCCAGCACACAGGCTGGCAGCCATCCAGTTCGGTCTTGTGGCTCCAAGTGCTGTGCCCCTTTTACTATCCCATGTGACGGCCATTACCCACTCACTGCCCAGCCTCAGACTCCCTATCAGTCCTGCTTCGGCCCATCCTTACCCCCAACTCCTTACCTCCCTGGCATATCCCTCTTGCTCAGTCCCCACAGGGATGACCACCACCTGGAATGGGGACAGCCACAGTGGCCTGGTTGAGAGAACAGAGGAGGGAAAATTATTCTGGCTCTGACTGTAAGTGTCGCTGTAGGGAGCAGATTCTAGGAGGAAACAGATGCTGTAGTCTAAAGGGGGCCAGGATCTGGAGCATGCACTATCTGGCTTGAGGGCCAGAACAGAAATCTGTGGTTAGAGGTCTCACCATTTTCCCCCACAGCTTTCTGCCAGCATTCCCAACATTCTTTCCACAGAACCTAGCACTGCTCGGTGAATGAGGACTGGATGCTCCAGGGCCCCCGCCTGCCTTGGAGAGAAAAAGGAGGGTGGGTGGAATGCAGGAAGTGGCATAAAACATGCACCCAAGATCACCTTCCAGTTTTCAAGAAATATTCAGTCCTGGCAGGGGAGGGTGTAAAGGATTTGGTTTAGTTTTTAGGGTCAAAGGTGGAAGGGGAAGTCGTTCTCCACCTATTCTATGGGCAGCCAAGAAAGGGGATGCAGTGAGGCTCTGTACCCCTTGTACTGGAGGTCAAATCTCAGGGGCAGTTGGAAGTCAAGCTGGATTGTCCCACACTGATGGGACCGACCCAAGGCATCGTGGAGGTGCACATCAATCTGGAGGAGAAGGATGAGAAGGCACCAGAGAAACCAGAATCAGTATATCTTCCATGGTGCCCACCACTCGCCCGCCCCCTACCCCTGCCTTACCTATGTTCCAGGTTGTTTTGAGATACGCATCACCCAGCTGTATTATACTCTACTTCACTCACTGGGGACCCTGCAGTAGCTCTTTCCATTTAATGGTATTATAATATTAGGGGACATCAACATTCACATGAACAACCTATCCACAGCCTGGCCTCTCAATTCCTTGAGCTCCCCACCTCAGGGACCTTTACCCATACCCAGACTATGGCTAGACCCTTCCTCCTGTCATTGCCCAGAACGGCTGCCCCTCTGAAACAGGCCCTGAGACCCTGCTCTGATTACTCTTGGTCTTCTGGCTCTGAGAATGATTCCTGTTAACGGCTCTTCAATCTCTAGGTTCCTTAACTCCTCTTCTTCCTTCCCGTTCACAGGCCCATCCCACCTTTGTTTCTTCCCCTCATGCCGCTGTAACCACTCTCCCTAGTTTCCCTCCTATCACTGTTCTCCTCTCACATCCACATGGCAAAACCCCACCCTGGTGGCACCCTCACCTCCCACCTGCTTGGGCCTCTAAAAGAACTGCTCAGTGCTGCCCAATATGTCACATATCACACAGATGCAAAAACAGGGATGGATGCCACCACACAAGTCGCTGTTTCAAACCTTACCTGGGCCCTTGCTTGCCAGCAATCCTCTCACTGCCCTAATAAGCTCTGTTTTCCTCAAGGATTTTCAAGCTTTCTCCTCTTTCGTCGTATCTTCATCCCCCTCACTGGCAACTCTCCTCTCCCCTACTCCTATCAGCAAATGATCCTGCCTCCGATCCGACGGAGAATTCAGAAAACTGACATCATGAGATGGGAAAATGTTTCAACTTCCTGTCACCACACCTATAAACTTCCTTGCATCTACCTCCAGCCTTTCCTCCTGCCTCCAAAACAATGGCAAAGGTGGTGCCTTCTGTGGAGGGTTCTCGATCTCACCCCTCAAGCCTTCCCAGGAACTTTCCTCCAATGAAACACCTTCTACAATGTCAACTTCTCCCTGACCCACACAGGCTCCCTCTCATCACAGCATTTCAACATTCTCAAGTCTCTCCCTTCACAAGCATCTCTTTTGACTACCCAGGCCCTTCAGCTCCTCTCCTCTGTCTTTAGAAAAGCCAAAGCCAAAGTTCTTCGAAGAGTTATGTCCATTCATTCACTTCTGACTCCACCCCCAATCCCTACTTTATCAAAAATGGTCCTTCAAAACCTAACAGCCTTTTTACTAAATCCAGCAGACACTTTTCAGTCCTTTTTTCCCTTGACTTCTTTCACTTCTTCCAACTTGCCAGGTGAGTTTTCACCCTTCCCCCCAGCCTCTGCCTACACTGTTCCCTCCTGAAACACCCTCTTTACTTGGCCAACAATTACCTTTCAGATTGGAAAGAGATTCCTGTAGGAAGCCTTTCCTGACCCCCTTTCCTTTAGTACCTACACAGCACTGATCCCATGGTGCTGAAATGCCCGATTTACCTCCCACAGCCCTCATTAGACCATAAGTTCCATGGGGGCAGAGAATGTGTTGCTCTTCTCTATATCCTACAAAATTTAAAAAATATCCCTTCGTTTGTTAAACATTTAGTAAAACAAAACAAAAAATGAACAAATAAACTGTAACCAGGGCCCCCAGCTTGCCTTAGGCCCATAGAAGGCACCATCTCCAGGGTTGAGGTCCCAGGGTTCTCCAAACTCTTCCAGGGCCTGTTGAAGGACCTTTACAGGGAATGAGACAAAAGAGGATTACGTTATCTTAGACTTTATGAGCAACA